GAAAAAAATTTGTGACAGAGATCACATTTGTATGGTTTCTCTCCAGTATGAGTCTTTGAATGTGTTTTACAATCTACTTTACGGATAAAAGATTTGTTACAGTGGTCACATTTGTATGGTTTCTCACCAGTATGAGTCTTCAAATGTGCCTTACAACAATCTTTACTGGAAAAAAATTTGTGACAGATATCACATTTGTATGGTTTCTCTCCAGTATGGACCACCATATGACGCTTAGCATAAAATTTTCTTGTAAAATGTTTATTGCAAATATCACATTTGTAAGGTTTCTCTCCAGTATGAGTGAATATATGAGCTTTAAGAACGTGTTTTTGTGTAAAGCATTTGTGGCAAATATCACATTTGTGCTGTTTCTCTTCTGGTTGAGTCCTTAAATGTTTATTACAACTTGCTTTACAGGTTATAGAACCATTACATTGTTCACATTGATTCGGCTTCGGCCCAGAATGAGTTGTTTTATGACGCCTAAGGTGGTGTTTATTCGTATAACATTTAGCGCAAATATCACACTTGTGCGGTCGTGTATCTATATTCAATCCATTAGATGTGTTCTGCACACAACTTTCTTGTACTAAATTAACAGGCTGCAACACCACAGGTCCTACGACCAATTCTTCCTTGATTTCATGACCTGCATACAGATCAAGCTTCTCCGTAATGTGTTCTTCTCCATCACCAAGTGGCTCTAGTTTAATGTGGACATTGATAGGTAAACCCACTGGGTTGTTTTCTGATTCGCTTGCCTCCTCCTTAACTTTCATAATGTTTTTGTTTTGTAAGTCTGTGTACGACATTGCCAATTGATAAAGTACTTGAAAGGAGTTCCAATATTAATCACTAACGTGATTTTATCATCGTACCGACCGACCGACGTCAATCCGTAACTCCGCAACAAAAACAATGACCGCTCTAGTGATGGGCTGGGCGTTAGATAATAAAAAAAAATCGATTTGTTCGATTGTAAATAATTATAATCCAATTAATTAGATTCTTGAATTGACATCAATGAGATCAAGTTAAAATGAAATAATGTTTTTTTTCTCAACACAAGAAATCCCTTAGTTACAATAGTCTCAAATGTAATTATTAAAATGTATGTACGTCAAGAGCAGGTCAAGCTTGACACTTTGAACTCGTTTTTATCGTAAGCGGCATAGACTTGGATTTAAATCTTAAGTGTCAAGCTTGACGTGCTCTTGACCCTGGGGGTCTACTCTCGACCTCCGTCTGACATCCGTCCGAAATAATTACTGTCAAATAAGTAATATTCGACAAAATCAAAAGACAAGTATCAAGTATGAAGCTTCATTTGCATCACGTGATATTAGTAGGCCACAACAACGTCGTAACTTTCACAATCTATCGATAAAACTATCGACAAGAACTATTTAAAAGTTTAATAAGCAATGTGTCAGAAGTTGAAATGTCATTTCACTCACTCCGTCTTCAAAAAAAGACAGACTATAATTTACTATAATTTCACTTTTTAATTATACAGGCTGTATATATTTGAAAGTGAGACATATTCATATATGTCATAGTAAATCATGTTACAACTTAACATAGACTAAAATAAAATTAGGATATGGGATAGAACAAAAAATAAATCAACAAATGTGTTTGGAAGTGTACATAGGAATAAACCGATTCCCTTTACGCTTGATTTCGAGTGCAATGGAAATACTACCAAGCGAGCGCCGGCTGAGACAGCAACAATAACAATGATTTCACATTTACTAGCTTATGTTAATTATTTTTTACTTGAACTATCATCGAAATGTTTTACGTACTAAAAAAGATAAGTCTATGATTTAGTAACTATTTATCATTTAACAAGAACTGAGGTTTTTGGCGTAGTTAAAGATATGAAATCAAATTATTTACAATGATTGATTTTTTAGTTATTTACAGTTTATTTACACTTACGTGGTACGGGATCAAGTGTTCAAAATGTCCACCGTTTTTCACAATGCATAGTCTAGCACGGCATGGTAAATTTTGTTTTAAATTGTACAACACAAACACATTTTGTCTCACAGTATAAAATGCTGAGATAATCCTCTCGCGCAACACTTCGACACTGTTCACCTCCTCAGCGTGAACTCCGATTTGGGAACATTTCAATAGCTTGCCTCACACTATAACCATTTATTGCGTAAAGTCTCACCATCGCAGTCAATTCGACGTTAGAATAAATATCTACTTTGCGGCGATCGGGCGAGCGGAAGTACAAATAATTTACGAGTCTTCGTTAGATCAAGGTTGCGCGTGCACTGTCTGAAGTTGCAAACAGCAATTTCACGTATGCGCCCGCGCCCCCACTCCCGACCTGTGCTTTGTTTTTCGCCGCCGTCCCGCCACCCGCCGCTGCGTCGAAGCAATAATAGTGATGTGCATAGATTTCGATAACTAATGTTGTTCTCAAGTAGTAGTCGATAAAAAAAATTAAAAAAATATTTTTTTGTAAAGTTTAAGTTCATAGTTTATTATTTCTTTGGGTTCAGAATCAGGAATATTATTTAATGTTTCGCTTTCAAATATACAGCCTGTATATCGATTGTGAATCGAAATTAGCGATGGGATGGGTTCCATTTTTTTCAACTCGAGTTACTCGATAATGTGATTGCCAACTCGAGTTGAATCGACTCGTTGTCTGGCAGAGCAACCGCGAGTCGTGAGTAGAACTCGAACTCGAACCAACGATTCACCGATAGAAGTGGGAGTTTAAACGAAAAGCACTTAAAAAAGTCTGCTTTTTAAAATAAGCGCATAAGCACGCTTTTTATTTTAAGCGTAAGCGTTGACCACTGGTCAGTTCTATCGATACTCAACAATTTCATTTTTTACAACGTGCCTAAGTTTCAAGTAGCGCCATTACATTAATTCAACATAACGTTGCAAGCTTATTGACACATAAAGTCTATGCGCTTAAACGTTTTTCTAAACGACTTTTTAAGCGTCAAACTAAAAAGCGTTAGTGAAAAGCGCTTTTACAAGCACGCTTTTCTAAACGTACGTTTTAACGTTAAAAAAATAAGCAGTTTTTCCATTTCAACGGTTAACTACAATAGTTAAACAACTTATGTTTTTAACTAAACGTTTTCTAAACGATTTTGTTAGCTTCAAACTAAAAAGCGTTTAAGTGAAAAAGTGTTTAAAAAAAGCATATCGTTTAAACGTAAAAAAAAATAATTTCTCATCTCTATTCACAGAGATGAGCACGATCGGGCTGTCCGACCGCGACTCGAGCGTGCTCCGAAGGTTGCCGAACCGACCGAGTGAGAACGAATAGCCGACGCGCTGTATGAATGAAGTATTCGACTCGGTGCGGCGGGAACCGCACCGAGCTAGCTGGAGTTCGCAGAAAGTAGCTCCCAGTTGGCTCGTTGTGGGAGTAACTCGAGTTAAATAGCTCGACTCGCCCATCGCTCGCGACTCGAGCGTGTTCCGAAGGTTACCGAACGAGTAGCACAGACCCGTCCCCGTCGTCCCACGAGTGCGGCGCTGCGGGTGACACCGCGCCACACACCCTAGAGGTGTGCAGCCGGTGCGATGAGCAGCGCCGTAATCTGACGGGGACGATAGGGCGGGACCTCTCGCTGCCGGGCGTGGTTGCCGCCATGCTCGGTAGCGAGGAGTTCTGGGAGGCCGTGGCCTCCTCTTGCGGAGAGGTTATGTCACAAAAGGAGGCAGCGGGGCGGGTGCGCGAGGACGCGGCGGACGCACACCCGTTTCGGCGCAGACGTATGAGGAGAAGGTGAAGGCAGTTCGCTGCTCGCCTGAACCCTGGTGAGGCCAGCGGGCTCTGGACAGGGACTCCGAAGCCTGCATTGCACGGCCTCACTCGTCAGGGGGGCGGATCGGAGGACAACTGACCTGCCCCTCCGTTGGCGCGGGAGCCCGTGGTGAATGCGCACCGACCCCACGGCGCCAACTCAACCGGGCGGCGAGAGGTAAACCCGGGGGGTTTTAGTGGGGTAGGCCCTCCAATCTGGAGGGAGAGTCCCCACATAACCCGTGAGTCTCCCTGGGCTCAAGGGTATCTATAAAGATTTCCCCCCAGTAAAAAAAGGGGGTACCGTCAACACACCTGGTGAGGAATCCCTTAGATTGTCCAATGCACAGTTTAACTCAGCAAATGTGAATATGTCCTCCATTCTATCCGGTAAGCTTCTCGACGTAGGGAATTTTCAAAGGATCGGCAATGTTAGGAGTAGGATTATTAGTCGATGACGTTGATCTTCAGAAACATATGACCTTTTTCCATACTAGTGATGCGGGGGAACGTGGAGAAAGAGACTAACAGAATCTCTGCCATCCCAAGGCTTTCTTTTTGGCGAGCAATCTTTTAGTACGTTCGATGTTTTTTGGAAAGTTATATAGTTTACAGACTTTACTGCAGGTTGGACATTAATAATCTCCCCAAGGTCTCGTATGATGGAGTAAGTCTTGCATATGCTGAAAACACAAAGAACCTGGGTCTGATAATCGACCGTACACTGTCCTGGAGACCACAGGGAAATGAGGTTAGTCGACGCATGCACTTTTCCTATCATTCTCTCAAGCGGCTTCAATTCTTCTTACCGTTCAACACCAAGGTTATGCTTGCTCAGTCCCTACTACTCCCTCTTCTCGACTATGCCGATGTTTGTTATTTAGATGTTACTGAGGAGCTGCTTAACAAACAAGAGCGCCTACAAAATCTGGCAATCCGTTTCATATTCGGTTTACGTAAATATGACCATATCTCTGAATTTCGGACTAAATTGAAATGGCTCCCAATCCGACTTCGCCGAGATATGCACGTTCTTTGTCTACTTTATAAAATTTTAAATTACCCCCAGCTTCCTCATTATCTGTTTTCCCGTTTTTCCCCCTTATCCCCCAATTCCCGCCCAAAACGTACCTGTGACACTAGAACACTTTTATATCCCCAATCCAACTCCAAATTCTTTCACAATTCTTTTACCGTAAGTGCAGCTCGTATGTGGAATAAACTACCTGCTAGCATTCGTGATAGTCCATCGGTGGCATCTTTCAAACACAAATTAAAAGAGCACTTCCTGTCGAACGCGTTAGATAGTTTATAGGTAACATATTTGTAAACAAATGATCTGTTATTATAATATATATTCTGCTTATGTATGTATTTATGTATATAAAGTTCATTTATGTGCATATGTCTGTCGTATGTATATTATTATCATTTATATTTTATTTACATTTGAATTTAAATTTTGTTGTACATTAATTAGTCCCGCAGACTTCATTTTTGCACCACGGCTAGGGTTGGCTGGAAAAGATCTCTTATAGAGATAAGCTCACCTTTGTATATGTCCATTGTAACGTGTGTTTCATGTGTCTTTTCTTTGTACAATAAAGAATATATTATAGTTGTCCATATTGAGATCAGCAGCATAGATATTCTCGACTAAATTTCGCTCGCGAACACTGGCAGTGTATTCCGCATCCCATCACGGAGGAGAAGAAAGCTTACCATTAGCTGAATCTTTATATGAGAAAGAAAGTTATAGGCTGGAATTATCATGTATTGCTCGTGTATAATGAGGCGCGTTTGGCTCACAGGACATGGTTAATGCACGGTTCTCCTTCTTGTGGCCCTGTGTATGACGACATGTATAATAAAAGAAAAGCGTTTAAAAATAAATTAAAATGGTGTCAGCGAAATCAAGAAAAAATAAATATGATATTATAGCCTCGCACAGATCTAAAGGAAATTTTAGTCAATTTTGGAAAGACACTAACAAACTAAATTTTAAACAAAGTAGACCTATTACAGTTAGCGGCCGTCATACTGGAGAAGATATTGCTAATGTGTTCATGTCGCAATTTAATGTGGAGAA